TATAGATATAGATATAGATATAGATATAGATATCGATATAGATATAGATGTAGATATAGATACATATGCTTACCTGCGCCGTAAACATGGGCTGCTGATACACCCCGTTCCGCTGATACTGGTTTAACGGGGAGCAGCCCCATATATTCTTGGTTATGTTATGTACATCGCTCCGGTTGAAGGTGTAGATGACTAGACTGCGATGGGCGATGCTGTGGCGACCCTGCAGGGGCAGATAGAGGTCCCAGTAGAGGCCACTTAGCTCGAAGCTGGTGCCGGGCAGGACATACTGATGCCAGTACTGCTTGTTGCGGCCCTGCAGCTTGCCGCTGAGATCACCCAGGGCGTATTGCTCCTGGGTGCCATAGCCGGGCGGCGGCACATGCTCCTGCTGCAGCTCCCGGGGATTGTGCAGGTCGCCCGTGGTCTCGCAGTAGTCCGGCTGGCCGATGCGTTGTGGCGCCGGCGGCAGACCGTGAATGCGAAAGGCAGCCACATCCTCGGCAAATTTGCGGCTCACGTGCGGCGCATGCGGTGTGGACAGGGTAAAGTTGAGGAAAGTGGGATCAAATTTGGAGCGCTGTGTAAAGGTAACCTCGCCCTTGACGCCGCCGGAATTGATGAAGGTTCTGGAAAAGAGCACGAACATTTAGCTAGTGAAGCGCAAACGGCGACAGCTGCGACTCACTTGTAGGTCAGGGTTTGAACGTGGCGTATCTTTGTGCAGGCCAAGTAGTTGTCCGGATGCTGATTGTCGTAGAGCACCAGATAGAGTGTGCGATGCGGTATGGTCAGGTCGGAGGGCAAGAGCGCCAGCTTGGCATCGCGAAAGACGCTGCGCTGTCGCTGACGTAGCGCATTCTTGGCCACGCCAATCCTGCCCAGACGCGCGTCCAAGTCGCCAATGCCTTGGCCTGGACCGCTGCCCTGCGGATCGAAGACCAGCTGCAGGAAATTGCAGTTATCCTCGCTGCGATGGTGATCGTGCTTGAAGATGTCCGTTACAAAGATCTTCCAGTGATGCTGCGTGAACTCTCGCCCCTGGTCCTCCTGCTCTGGAACGGCGGGCTGCGCTTGAATATGATACAGATCCGAGTAGATCAGCGTATCGCCGCTGGCGCCATCGGTCGGCGCCAGCCAGCGAAAGTAAACAGAGCCCGCAATGGGTGTATTGAAGCGCGCCTCTGCCATGTGCTCCACGGGCATCTGCACAGTGGTTATCGTTGCGCAGATGCGCGCATTGGAATTGACTTCTGTCAGCACCAGCGACTTGCCCCAAATGCCGCGATCTCCAATTAGCTGCATCTTGTGCTGCCAGCTGGCCGTCTCGTTGCCCGGCAGCACCAAGTAGTCCAGTTCCTCATCAAAACTCATGATCTGTCCGCCCAGACGCTCCAGTTGGCAGCGCTCATCAGGCTCTATATTGGTGTAGTCCACGGGAAAGCGTCGCACCGCCCAGCTCCAAACCTGATCCGGATACTGCAGCGTCGCCTCCAGATTGGCTTGGATCTCCACCACCTGCGGATCGGCCTGGCGAAAGGTGATCTCCCCGTGAAGTCCATGCTGCGAGATGTATGCAATCAGATGCTGGGCCGCGGCTGTTTACGAAGCAGAAGAACAAAGCAAATTGGATGATGACTCAAAATACATGTTGGCTAACACGTTTATACCCTGCAATCTTTGTAATTGTGCAAAAAGGGTATAATACATTTTCTCACATATATAAAGCAGGTAGAGAACAACATCTCCGACCCGAGATATATACATATATAATTGATCCTCCATACGGAATATTTGAAATATAAGTTGTATACCAAACGCAAATCAAAGTTATTTTTTATATAAAGCATAATTCGATTGCTTCCCCATTTTCCCAAAATCGATAAATATCAATTTACAGCTTTCGTTTTTAGAGCATATCTCGGAAACTATAAGAGGTATAGATATAAAAGTTGGTATTTAGGTACTTGAATATCAAACAAAACAAGCAATCCCGCACTTCGCTCAATACTGTATAATTATTAAAATAATTAATCACGTTGTGCTGGCCACAGGGTATCTCAAAATCGGTTATTGATAAATAGATCACTCGTTACTTTCATTTTCTCTTACGTGCAGCATAGACTGAATTCCCCGTGGATTTTCTTTCGATGGATTTGCATACAATGCGTGGGAATCGAAGGTGATTGAACAAGGCTGTTCCGCGTTTCTTGTAAAACCTTGTTATACACATGTATATGTGTAAAAATATGTATATGGATGTGTGTGCTTGCACCTACCGCCGCTTTGTGTGGCAATTCCAAGGGAAAAGATGACGCATAGCAGCCGGAATATGGCGCCCATTCGCTGGTTGCCCTGCGGCATATTCCTTGCCTAAGACTTGCTTTTAGCTTGTTTTTGAACAAGCTTTTTTAAGCCTTAAAGCAATTGCCAAATAGTTGTTTTTACTGTTACGCTCAGCACTTTCATAATTTACAGCGCATGCGTGCGCTCTGTGGAAGAAACCGCACACGTTGCAATCCAACTGAAAACTGGTCGAAAACAAAACACGATTGTTGGCTTAAAGCGTTTCGTGTTTTTTTGGTTTTTTTTTGTGAACTGTGTTGAGTTTGGCTTTGTTGGCGGGTTTGCTTTGAGTCACGCTTTAGCTGAGATTTTGTTTTGCTACGCTCAACTCATCAGCCAACCGGCTGTGGCCAGCTGTAGCTGCTCTTATACGACACTTATAAATCTTTTATAAGCGTCTCGCTTTTGCTTTAAATTCAGCTCGAGCTAGTCTTATGCAACTCTAATACAAAATGCACAAAAAATTTCTTTTTCGGCCACCTTGCTTATACAAGTAGTTAGCCGATGCAATTCTTATACTACTTTTAGGCCAGCCAGTGCTGCCAGCCTTTCTTACTTTAATTCGTCAAATGGCGCAATTTTTAAACGAACAACTTTCAACAGTGGGAATTCTGACTTGTTTTAAATCGCGTTTAGCTTTATTTGCCATTTTTTCATTGAATTAACAAAAATATTAAGCAAATAACTAAAGTTAAAGCTTCAAGCTGTTATTTTTCATAAATTACTCACAACTATTTATTTTATAAGCTGGCTATCTTTGAGTGTACAAATTCTATTTCATTCTTTTGAGGACATTACTGTAAGTAATATAAGTATATTCAGACTATTTCAAAATAAGCATTCTATGCTGTTAAAGTTGATTACTTTTAGCGACAATTTTTTTATTTTTTCACTAAAAAGTTCACCCCACCCAAACCAAAAAGAAACAAAGTAGTTTTTCTTTTTTAGACGACTCGCTTTTGATTTATTCCATTAAAGTCATCATCATCATCATTGTTATATAAAAACAGTTCTTTTTTTTTTTTGGTAATATTTCTGACCGGGTTAAAAAAGTAGTTATTATTATTTTATTTATATAATTTTTTTTTATCATTTCTTTTTTGCCATGTAACTTAATTTATACTGAAGTAAAGATTTTCGCACTTAACAACTCGTTGCATATTGAATTGAATTGGTTTAGATATAGATTGTGTTTGTTGTATAAGTTATTGTGTTTGTAATTTCCTTTAGCAAGTAATTAGTGTGAAGTGATGCTACTGCTTTTGCTTGAATATAGCCTTAGTATTAATGCTTGTGTATTGTTTAAGTCAAAACTACTAGATATGTTTTTCTTCTAATATTTCTTTTGCCTATTTCCTTTCCACTTCTCTGGTACTGATGCACCCGGCAATGAGTCGAACGGCCATTGCCTCAGTTGCCTCTGTCCTAGCTTGGTGGGGGGGGGGATAGTTTTTTGCTCTCGAAAAAGATTCGACATATAGACGATAGTCGCCATGCTATGCGCTATATGCATTGTACAAGGGTATCGTATCGAATTCGAACTCGAGCACGCCCATTAAGTACACATTGATGTGGTATCATATGTACATATAGTATATATATATGGGTATATTAATATTTAGATCTATGCAAAAAGGCATAGCGCCATTTCCGTTTGTTTAGAAAACACATAAACGTGAACTCATCAAAAATAAATATTAACTTTTGCATTTTAATAACTTTTCGATACTTTTGTTGAACGCATAAACTTTTTTTCTTGATAGTAAGTAGTTCATAAGCAGAAAGTTTGTGAATATTCTCCTTATTTTTTTCATTCGGGTAAGTTATGTAAATTGGCACGAAAAAAAAACAATTTGAGTGAATGAACTTTGAAAATGTTTTGTTCTTTTCATTAAGCTAACTTTCAATAACGTTTGTAATTTGATATATTTTAATAATATATATTTATAGATATTGATAAATATTGAAATATTGTTTAACGAACGATTGAGATATATGCATAATATAATATAGTATTCAAGTGTTTAGTTACATAGAATATTTGGCTCTCAGATGAAAGTAACCTAACGATAACGAATTGTATATGTCTCTCTCTCCTTAACCTGTAAAATGATTAACTAACAAATGTGGGCCAAGGCCTACCTATTTCTGTATATATATTTTGTATAGATATAGATGATATACATATATATACTTATGTATATATCTATACCATAAGCTACCCACGGCGCTTGCTCATCTTTTTTTTGTATCTTTCTCTGTGATTCTTCAACGAACAGCAATTAAAATAAACATGTGAATTTCTTTGTTTTTTTCTTCATTTTTTTTTAAGTATTTTCTTTGTGTGTTTTTAAATAAAATAGACTTTCAGTTATTTATAAATTTTACGTGTAAAATTTAATAATAAATCAACTAGAAAACTAGCTGTCAAGATGGCGCTTCGACATTTGGATTTAAAGTATCCCTAAAATGATACGTGGAACTTGGTACATGGTTAAATGTTCTTAGTTCATACCAAATTGTTTGTTGAAGAAGTTAAGAGTATTAGATTGTGTTGTTGTTGTTTGTTGTTGTTGTTGTTCTTGTTGGTGGTGGTGTTGGTTAACAAAAAGAGATTATATAAATATTTAAAATTTACATATGTAAAACGAGCATTTCTTTTAATTACGTTTATTATTTTTTTTAGACGATTTTAAAAGTTTTTAAGTTTTGTTTTTTTTTTGTTGTTGTTGTTGTTGTTGGTTGTAATATGGATGCTGAGTTAGAGTTAGGATGTGTACGGGGCCAGCTGCTGCTTAGGCGGCTTCCTCTTCCTCCTCATCACCCTTGCCGGTTAGCATTTCAATCAGGGCGCCGGTATCGATTTGGTTCTTATCATCAATGACCATCTGATCGAAGGCATCATCGACCTCCTTCATGGTGAATTTCTCACCGAAGCCCATGAGCATTTCGCGGAATTTATCACCATCGATGAGACCATCGTTATCGAATGTTTTGAAGGCAGCAATAACAACATCGTCTTCATCGTTGGCACCAGAGGTGGCCATACGGTTGGCGAACAGGGTCAGCAATTGGGTGAAGTTAATTGGACCGGAGGCTTCGCCCAGCATGGCGTCCAACTCCTTGTCATTGGCGATCTTGCCGACGGAATCGAAGGCAGCGCGCAAATCGTTCTTGCCAATAATACCGTCCTTGTCGGCATCCATAAGTTGGAAGGCCTGATTCACGCGCGCAGAAATAGAGAGAGTGAGAGAGAGAAAGAGAGAGAGAGAGAGAGAGGTGGTTGGTGATTTGGTCTTGTTGTGATTTGATGGTCATGGATGCGACATGACATGGCATAGGCACAGGTGACAGGCACAGGCACAGGCACAGGCTCAGGCTCAGGCACAGCCAAGGAAACTTTGGGTTTGGATTGCTATTTGACAAAACTTACTTCCTTGAATTCGGCAATCTGCTTCTGGGAGAAGACAGAGAACACCGAGGAGCCGGCGCGCTTCGATTTCTTGGAGCCACGCGAGCCGCCCGACGCTCTCTTCGAACCAGTAGCAGAAGCTGGGGCAGGAGTAGCAGCTGGTGCGGGGGTTGCTGCCTCGGACACTGCCTCAGAAGCGGTTTCGGAAGTACCACCCTCTTCCTTGGTCTTCTTCTTCTTAACCTTCTTCTTCTCATCCGCCTAGAGTTTTTGAATTGGAAGTAGAGAAAATATATTTCATTAATATTTGAATCATAGTTGGGGTACATTTGCTTTGGTCAATTTCCTTTTGTAAATTTCGAAAATATTTCGAAAGAAAATTTTCCAATTAATTGGCCTAAAATACTCGACGCGTATTACGTAAGATACAGCAGAAGCTATATACGTCTCGCTCTAGCTATCATATTACGTTCCGACCGATCCATTTATAGAATTTCACGCGTGTGTATAAAGAATATTTCGAAATGAAAGAAACTTTTTCACACCATTTGGATTTAAAAATAGTTTTCGCTTCAACTATTCCATTATAGAACTAGTTATGTATATCCAGGCACAACTGGCACAATAATCCACATAGAGGCGAGTCATTGAGGTCATTTAACGATGTATTCACTTGATCTTTAAATATTTATATTTACTTTAATAACAATATTTCAATAATTCATTTCAGTTTCGATTGAATAACTTTCGAATGCAACAAATTCACTGCACAACAAATATATATATATATATATATATATATATATAGATATATGTTTAAATATATATATATATATATATATATATATAGTACGCGAGTCCTTTATAGCGATCCATTAGATCTGGTACTATAGTATATCCCGTGGCTCCTTACCATGGTGCTGAACTTTGATGTGTTGTCTAATCGAGTCGAGCGGTCAGAGCACACTGAATCAATGGCTGATTTTATCGTCAAGACAATGATGTTTTAAGATCTTTTTCAGCCGTCTCTTCTTCATAACCCGAACCCGAACCCAGACCCGACTACCCAGTCGGCATTCGGCATTTCGGGCAGCTTTTTGGCCCGATTCGTTTCGTTGTATCTGTATCTGTATCTGCCAGATTCGTGCTGCCTTTTTTAGTATCTGCGAGGCGAGGTCCGCCCAGGCGCACGGTGGGCAGCGGGTGGTGCCCCATGGTCCACGCAGCTCGGTGGGCTGAAATGTTTACTCATCGTATGCTCTAATCAGAATCTAATTTTAACGGCCAGAGCAAATGGTTGTACGCCTCACAAAATGCGTATATGCATAGTTCTATATACATACATATGCACATACAATAGCTATATACATCGGTATGTACATCAGTTTGGTAAATGTTGAAATTTATTTTGGCGTATTATGAACAGATTCTAATGCTTAATGCGTCTGCTATATACATTTTCGTATCCATAGCATTCAAAAACTTGTTTTGTATTATTCATCTTTGCTCTTGGAGGCATTTTCGAAGGTGTCCTCTTGCTCTGAAAATCACCTCCATTTCCCTTGGCCATATATATGAATATATATATATATATATGTATATCTTTATATCTGTATATATACACAAATGCCTATGTGGCCCGCTCTATCATGTATGTAGCATATAGTATAAAGTCAGCTATATAGACGTCGTTCGTATTTTACCTTGCCTATTTTCAACGACTGGCATTTTCTGTTTTAAAAATGTTTGCATATTGTGCAATATAAAGAGAAAGAGCAAAGAATTCCAAAGCTATAGATTTTGTGTCGCATACATAACAAAGACATCGTAGAATAAACTTTGTTCTTCTTTTATTTAAGTTTTCCATGTACATTGCATAACAATAAGAAATATGGATTGTTTTACCTATTATAAAGTTAAATGAACTTTGCATATGTTAATATTTTCATCTTCGTTTCTGTCTACATTTTTGCTTGATGGAATATATAAATGAAAATGCAATATGATATTTAATATATGAATGGAAATGCAATATGATATTTAATCTATACACTTTTACGTTTTTCTATCTAGATCCTACGTTTCCTGAGTTTCGGCATTATATTTGAATAAATATTAAAGCAATCCTTGCAGGTTTCAGCATGTTTGGAATCTTATTAATTTCAACAATTTTATATTTTTTCAATTTTTATTTGGGCCAAAGTTGTTCGATATTTATTAATTTCGCTACAAAGGTTTTGAAAATAATGTATAACCCATTCTAATCATTTTGATATATTATATAAAAATATTTGAAAAACATATTAGAAAAAAATATTTTTTAAGATGTTAGCTTTGCTAATACTTGATATTGATTGAATCCTGCAGAGCTTTGAAAAAGAACATACGACCGAAAATTTACACAGGGGGTGGATTTCCCAAAAAGCGTGAATCACGTGTTAGGTAGATTGTTGCAAATCGATCGAATGATAAAAATAAATTGCTTCCAATAATTTCCACCTATTTTTCACAGTTGCGGCTGGAATTTCCTAAAGCCCAGTCTTAGAATGTACTTACACCGCAAGGAACCTTCAGTGAAAATTTCAACATGCTTGCTCTTGCAATTTGGGATGTGCGTTGATCAGCAATCAGTCAGTCAGCCAGTCAGATCAAACAATTGAATATGTACAGAAACTCAAAACCTGAAATTAAAGTTAAACTATTTTTTTTATTTTTATTTTCTTTTGTCTGCTTTAACCTTAAGCCTGTTTTAATCATATTTAAAAAACCAATTCAGTGAAAATATTTATGATAAAAATGTTGTGATATACGTTTATATTTACATGCATATGTACCTTTTACATACTTTAAATATTTACTTTATTATATACTAGCGGGTATAACCCGGCCTTGCCCGTGGCACGCATGTTATAAAATCAATGTTTTTAAAAAGCATTGAAAATGATTTTGAAACTGATCGGACGGGAATCAAAAACAACTTTTATGCAAATCGGACAAAACTTAAAATTCACCAAAAAAATCTATTAAATGCATTTTCCACCGAAGGAGTTTAGATTTTGCGAAATATGTGAAACACGTCTCAAATGATTTTTCTTATAGATCTTTAGATATAAATTTGAACACAAAACGTCATCCACCAAATTTTCGACCCCCATTTGCACCAAGGAGGGATGGTTTTTCAAAAAGTGTGAAACACCCCTCAAATGAATTTGAATATAGATCTTTGAAAATGAGTTTGGGGCCGATCGGATGGTAAACAAAAAACTTTCATACAACCGTTTTCCGCCAATTTACTACTGTTGCGGGTGGAATTTCCCAATTCGCTGAAATATGTATTTATTAAGTTCTTATGTAGAGCTTTGAAAATAAGTTTGAAGCAAATCGGACACAACTTAAAACTTCGCCCAAAAAATCTTTAAATCGCATTCCCCCCGAAGAAGTTTGAATTCTGCGAAAAGTGTGAAACACGTCTCAAATGATTTTTCTTATGGATCTATGGAAATGAATTTGAGCGCGAAACGTCACCCACCAAATCCACATTGCCACCAAGGAGGAATGCATTTTTCGAAAAGTGTGAATCACCCTTTAAATGAATTTGAACAAAGATCTTTGAAAATAAGTTTGAGGCCGATCGGTTGGTAAACAAAAAAGTTACATAGAAATGTTTTCCGAAACTTAACGTGCACCTACATCACATAAGGTAACTATATATAGAGATACATACTTCTAATATTTTACGAAAATAAATATTCAAAAAAACTAATTTTAAAACTTATGGAAAGTATTTGAACTAATAAACAGTAGGTGTAATAGAAATTAAAAAAAAAAATAATGCATCAGGATTGAATTTGTCATATCTATATTCTAATTCTATATCTATATCGAATTCCCAAACACATAATTCAAAACCAATGAATACGCAAGACTTTGCCCTTAAGTTGTCTGCCTAAAAATGCATTGATAAATCATCACGTAGACGTAATTGAAAATGAAAATTAATTTTTTTTTAGTTTTTTTCGAAAGTAATTTTTAACGAAATTTCAAAGCGTTTCGAAATTTGGCATGTAACCAGACGACGCGTTGGCCGTAAGCCAAGCAAAATAAAAAATACGAATCCCACAATTGCAAGATGAATTCTTTACGTGAACGCCAAATTAAAAATAATGCAGAATAGTGCAAAAAATTCAAGAGATGCCGAAAGGAATAATGAAATCCATCGCCCTTAAGTATTCTGTTTGTCGAGGCAAATTCGACGCAGTCATAAGCAAAAAATAAATATCATATTTAACAGGCAAACAACATTGATTTTACATTTTGGAATATGGCATTAACAATATTAATATACAATATTACAGCTAAAAAGCATTCGAAGCATCACAAAGATAACAGGAAAACCAAAACCTACACATAATATTTGTTTATCTAAAAGTATTCTAAATATACAAGCCAAATCAATTTCATATGCATACATCTTTACATTTATATATGGGTATGTATGTACAAAGAAGCATGTATGGGCATGTATATCAATATATGGTACATAAACGAACTTGGAAGATTTTCATTTGTTTTTGTGCACACGGGCGCTTTTCCAATAACAATTCTTAGCTACGGACGTCATTGAGAAGCAACTGTATTAATCGTAGGCACTACAGCTTGTGCTAGAATTATACATAGAGAAACATCCCACGGCGCGAATGCTATGTAGCACATTCCTCTAGCAAGTCACTCGATTGCCTTGGGCTCATGCTTTTGCGGCCCGATGTCCAAAAATAGCTGTGCCAACGCGCACTATAGTGCTGCCCATTTCGATCTGCAGGCAAAACAACATGAATATAGCCAGTCCAAAGCAGCTGTTGGTGTACTACGTACCGCTCTGTCATAGTCGTTGGACATGCCCATTGAGACCTGCAACGCATCGGGTGGCAAAGCGTTGGCCTCACAAATTGCGCGATGCGCCTGCATAAGTGCCACAAAATCCGGATTGGGACCGTTGCTATAATCGAATCCATAGGCGCCAATAGTCATAATGCCCACAGGATGTATATGCTTCAGATTGGCGCTGATGTATTTAAATAGTGAGGGTGCAGCGCTGGCGTCAATACCGCTCTTTACTGTACGGATTAACCAAAAGTATATTGTGTATGCGTCTTGGTGTTGATCTGAAACCTGTACCATCTTCTCCACTGGTGTTGATCTGCACGAGCACACGCAGTGGTTCACCTGGCGTGGGCTGCAGCTTCGCCCAGGCGGCATCTATCTTGTTGGCCAGTTTCTCGCTGTCGACCGTTTGAACCATGTGCAGATTAGGTAGCTTAAGCACCTGTAAGAAACGATTTCTTCAATATTTATGATACTGACATATTGGGGACAGTTTAAGCACGTGGTTGATTTTGTTACTCTGCAGATGTCCAATCAAATGCCATTTAATGTCGGGGCATTGTGATAATATATCCGGATGCTGACTCTTCTCCACCAGCTCCTGCACATAGTTTTCACCAAAATGACGCTGGCCGGCTTTGTAGGCCTCTATAACACACTCCACTGGCTTTGTTTTACTGACGGCCACCAGCAGGGGCTTGGGTGCATTGATTTCCTGATAAGAGCGCAAACATTTTATAGCAATAGATAACACAAATGGCAGTATGGCAGTTGTTATAGTCTTTACCTTGGGGCGACTTTGCATCGCCAACTCAATGCGCTTCAATACGTGCTGTAGGCCGGCATTTATGTCAAATTCGGCCATTGTGCGCCGTATCATTTAAATATTATTCTAAGCTTTGTTAAATTTGTTCAAGTTGTTGATGGAATTCTTGCAATTTTTTACTAAAACATCTGTTGCCAATTTATCGATAAATTTGGCAATCGGTCGATAAGATAGTAAGCGCTGTGGTTAGTATTTTAAATCCAGTATTTTATTTATTTGGTTTTTAATTTTTGGTATTTTATAGTTTCCAAAAAAATTTTCTTTTGAAAAAACGTTCAACTTTGAATATTGTATTCCGTTGAATTGAGTAAAATGTTTTCGCCGCATCAACACGTAAATTAGTTTCCTCAATCAATTCTCAAACAGAATGGCTCAGGCTATGCAGCTGAGCTGCGATGCGGCCAACACCGTTATGGACTATCTACAAACATTAAGAGTTGTGGAAATACGCCAGTCCCTGGAATTCATTGGTCTCCATCATATTGAGGTTATTATAGCTGTATTTATTTTCCTGATGCTGCAGTTTACAAAATTCACTGCTGTGCTTTTGGTTGCCTGTCTGATAGCATTTGCTATCTTCTATATGGTAAGCAAATATTGGATAGCGAAAACAAAGATCATCTTATTCACTCACCAAACAGTGGGAGTCCTTCTTTCCCGAGCTTGGCGAAAGTGTGTCGAGACCTAACAAATATACCGGAACCTACGGCGCTGGATACGGTCCACCCTATGGGCCCGAATTGATTGACGTGGCTTCTAACTTTCCTCCCCCTTATTACCCACCACCAGCCGGCCATACAAGCCGTGATGCACGCACATCTGCGTTATTTCCACCGTTCTCGAACTACGAAAACGAAGATGCAACAGGTTTATGCAAATATTATGTTTTAGTGTTTCATTTATTATAATTTAGCCCTAAGGTGATTACGCAGTCTCTCCGGAAAAACGCCAATATTTAAATACTATTGGCAATCATCTCGGGTCGAACCTAAAGAAAACTGGTCCATCTGGAGCTGCCACGCCAATAGGCCACAGGGGCTCCACCTCTGATTTGCGAGCGCATCGAAGACCATATACTGGCCAAATGGAAGATTTTAAGAGTATGCGACGTGCTAATGATCGCGACGCTCAAGCCTTTCGTAGGATGATTGCCAACGAATATAGGGCGTACCGGCCAGGTACTGTCACTGAAACCAACCTTTATCGATACCCAAATCAAACGAACGATGATCAGAGATCGAGACGTAACGGCCCATCAAATATGGCCGACGACAAGGCATATAAGAGCCGACGTAGTACGGAGACCAAATCCTCATCACAAAAAAAGAACAATGCCAATGAGCAGCCGGAGCGTTCCAGAAATGTGTCTCGTGAAAATATGCAACGCAAATTGCGTAATAGTCCGGGGCCTCCAGCCCGTTCCAGCGGGCCCCATAGTCGATCCGATCCCACCGGTCCGAATGCGGAAAACAGAGGAGTCAAAAGGCGAGCGGGTAAGAGGCTAGTCGAAAATTCATTATCAGAAATCAAAATTTGTATCGCTTTAGATAATCACAATACATTCAAATTTAAACTCAACCGTTGGGGCCTGTGATATGGATAAAGTCAATGTTGTAAACTCTTCCCATGAAGATACGGAAGTACCGGATCATCAAAACAATATGTACGTATATCGAGTATCTAAAATATTTCACTATAAGCATACATGTATATATGTACATATGTAATATTTCAAAGCGAATGTGATTGTGATAAAGATGGAGACGCAATACAGTGCCATAACCAAGGTGAAGAAGACAAAGCGGTCATCAAATCCACGGGCAGTTATCCATGTGTTATCGAAATGGTAATTGACAGCAGCAGCGATCGCATGTTAACTGAGAAAGCGGATAAAACCATACAAATACCTATTAAAGACGAAGAAAATAGGGCTTCTAACAGCGGAGACACAGATAACAAAAGTTCGCCTAGTAATAATGAAAAAAGCGACGTGAGTAGAAGTTCTACAGAAAAATATCCATATATTGTGGAAGTTCCGTCTAACAACAAATGAAAACTTGACCCTGTAACTTCTAGCCGGATTTAGAAATGTCGCTATCAAATTTAAAGTTAATAAAAAAATTGGTTATGTGTATTGAGGAGACAAATTAATCAAGTTTTTCAATCATTTAGTGTTCTTACACTTACGTCACTTAGTATATAAGTTAGTATTTTATCTTTGGTATTTTTGTCCTCTTCACGACAGCAGATTCGGTCACACTGAACACATTTTGTTTATATTTGTCGAAAGCAAAAATAAATGTCAAATTTACAATTAACCCAGGAAAAACTGTAAGTAATTGATTTAATTAATGTCTTGATGACATGCAGAGGTTATATAATTGACCAATTCTCCCGTAGCGACGCTCTGCGATCGGAGTACAGACCGCGCAGGCCGTGCGCGTTGCTGAAGTACCCGCGACCGAAAACAAAGCCCGAATACCAATCCATATACCCGTGGATTATACTGGATGAAACGGATCCGCATTTTGTGTTCTGCGCCATTTGTGAGTGTCGCCTAAGCGCGAAGCGCTCCGATCTGGGCAAGCACGAGGGCAGCATCAAGCATTCGGAAAACGCACAGCGCAAGTCGGTCATATTCAAAGCGGAGCCCCAGGTGGACGATGTCAAGTGGGAGTACAACGATGATGATATGAGCCTATTGCCGCTACAATTTGCCACAGCAAGCGACTTGTGCAAGACGGAAGCGGACAACGAGGATGACGAAGCCGAAGAAGATGAGGAGGAGGAGGAAGATGCAGAGGCTGAGGCAGATGACGAAGGGGCGGAACCAGAAGCGGATGCTGATGCCAATCCAGATGCAGACGCAGATGCCGGTGCCGATGGAGATATAGATTCGGAATATGAACCGGCTTGCAAGCGTCGCGTCTCGGAAACAGACTCTCAGCACTCCGGTATTTTTGAGAATTTGCCGCTGCAAGTAACCATCAATGAAACGCCGCACGGACAGCTAATGCCAGCTACTCAATTATCCACACACTGCCAGCCCGCGGCATCCACGCCGCTGCCGTGTCGCATTACAATTAAAAAGGTGACGGCACCGCTGACAAAGGTGCCCAGCACGGGTGCTACACCCATGATTGGCTCGCATGAGATCACCTCAAAGGCGACCATAACGCCCATTGCGACCGGCTGCTACACGCCCTTGCGCCAGCCCCAGCTGCAGTCGTATGCGTCCAGGCAACTGCAGTCCTATCAACTGCAGCACCTCACCTCAATAGAGCCCGCACCGCGCGACTCTCTGGATCTCTTCTTTGACAGCATTTGTGCCACGGTCAAAGGGCTGCCGCCCAAATTGGCCACCGAGGGCAAAATACGTGTCATGCAGCTAATTGGTGAACTGGAGTTGCGTGCGATTAACGAGCGCGATGCACTGCCCGCCACGAATACAACAGACACACCTCCAGATCCTGCTGCAGCGACAGCAGCTGCATCAGATGCTCCCGGCAGCAGCCAGCAGATTGCAACAGTTGCCTCGACCACCAAATGAGGGCGCCGCGGGCTTAGTCAATGGAATCAGTTCAAACCATACTCCCTAACATAAATGCGAGATTTTGTAGCAAAGATTGTTAATATTGACTTCTATAGTATAAGGATTCTCCTCCATTCATGACCATTCTCTAGCCGGCTCTGTACCAATTGCAACCATGAGTCGCTCTTATCTCTTAGTAATCGTTATCGCTTAGAGATTGATTATAAAAAAAAGACCATTTACAAATATTATAATAATTAATTATTATTTATCGTTTAAAAAAATAAAAAAGTCTGATAAAATGAACATTTATAATTATTGCACTTAAGATTATGTCATATCAAAATATAAATGTAAATTATTAAAATGGGGGCTTGCAGTCCACCATGGCCTTGGCGCAATAATGCGGGAATTGTAGGCCCTGCAGCAGCACATCGGATATGCCCTGTAATATAATGGAATAGACGCGATTAATTTTGGCATTTATAAATAAGGGATCTTTTTTTAATTTTTTTTTTTATCATAAGACTAGTTGACTTAGTTAGGTGAGTAATTGTACAAAAATCTACAAATTGCGATAAGCGGCCGGCACTCGGCAACTACATAAATAATGATATGATGTCATTGTGGAATATACATATATTCGACGCCCGCCCCCTGCCCGGCACTTACCGAGAGGCCCGGAATGCACACAACAAGTGTGTAGATTACGATGTAGAAGAAGGCACAGAAGAATGCGACCGCCAGGGAGATGATCCAGAAGACCAGCAGCCAGAATATGAACCACACTGGATTACCCATTTTCAATCAGTTGATTTGTTTATTGAGTTCGTTTTAAGCTTAAAAGATAAGAAATAAAAGCGGTCATTCATAGTGTGCAAAACAAGCTTCGAGCGGCTTAATGCATTCATTTGGTTCTACAGATAGCATTATATATACATTTATCTTTCTATCCATACATACCATTCATGGGTAAAGAAATGGAAATCAACTGCATTCCACAGAAATTTCACTTTTGCTACAGAATTTGGCTTTGAAAATGCGTGACAAACATTGGAACGACCGATTTGGTGTTGTTTTACGTGAACGTTGACGTAAATAGATATGACGATATATCTTTGTATGTAAACCGAGGTAAGACAGTGAGTAATATGCACAACTAACTATGTCAACAAGCTAGAGACGCTCCTAGTGACATCAAGAACTTCTAACATTTCGTTATATTTAATAAAAAATTGTATATGTAAATATCATCCAAAATTCGGAAGATTTATTAAATTATTCCGTTTTTAAATAATCCCTATATTTATAGGGTATACATTTAAAATTGTTATATACCTGACACTGATATATATTGAAAAAAAAAAACGTCTATAATTATTTGTTTAATAAAAATACAATCTCTCGTTGTCATAAAAGAATCTTAAAAGAAATTAAAAATTTTGGGAAAAGTGAAAGAAAAAGTTTTTTAATAAAAGGAATCATATATGTACATATGTGCACATAAATTTTAAGATAATTTTTTAATAGAATATTAAACACTTCTATTTTAAATAAGAAAAATAATGTATATATTTTTTTTTTCAAAAACAACTTTTGAGTATAAACGTAGCGTAGCCAAGTTTCGTGTTATCAAATCATGTGTTAATTGAAATGTTTTTAGTTTTGGAAAAACGAGGCAAAGTTTATGGTCCGCCTGACGCATCTGCTGATATTGTTTTTGCCAGCAGGCGCTCCGAACAACTTACGCACCACGAATTTGTTGATGATCTAGCAGCCAAGATTATGCAAATTCGTTACGGGCGTGGCTGCATTTCCAGCTTATGTTAAACAATTTTCAAATTGTGTGATAATTACTGCTGTATTTAACATGACACTAAATACAAAACAAATCGGCGAGATACTTTATGGGTTGTGCTGCATTTATAAATAAATGTTTAATGCGCGCCTACGCCAAGTAATGCAAACAACAACAACATGAACGTAAATAAAAACAAATGACCCACCTTAGAGAGAGATTGCAGTTGCGGTTGCGGACGGGGCGACGTTCGAGTGGGACGAGATGAAAGCGACAACTAAACAAAACTGGCGCAACAAGTTTTAAGCGAGTGCCGCACAGGGTTGCCAGCTTTTTGTAATTGATAGCTTTTCGCGGCCTAAAAGCATGCTAAGCTTAATTTATGCAGCTTGAAAGCGCTTTAAAGCTTTCGAATTAACGGGTGCAGCAAATGCACCGCTGAAGATCAGCATTTTGAATTTTTCCCGCCGAAATGGTCAGGATGCGAATATATGAAGATTTTAGAAGACCCTTGAAAACGAATCCCATTTAACTTTCTTAACGAGAAATATGCGTTCGGGTAGAGCTTAAAATAGGTGTTATTTTAATGTTAATATATCGTCTAGTTGATACTTAAAACATGCTTTTGCCCGCAAAACTTAAATTGTAACCTAATCGTAGATAAAAAACGATATCACGAGCGATACGTGGTATCTAGCGCAAAAATCGCTTCATTATCTTTCTTTATACGGGGTATACAAATTGCTTCGAGCTTATTAACATTTTAATTCAACTTGGCGCATAGCTTAAAAACCATTTCTAACTCTGATTTCAGCTTTCAGGTGTGACAAAAGCGCTCACCAGCTGCAAGCTTCAAAACTGTTATACGTTATATTTATAGAAGAAGCCCAAGCTTTTGCACACAGCTGAAGGTAAAAGCTTGGCGCGGCTGCCCAATGTTTTCATAACAGTTCTTTTGCTTTCATTTTTTTTAGATTTTGTTGTTGTTGTTGTGCGCGTATCCCGCGGATGTCGACGCCGATTTGCAGCTGTTGTTTTGGACCGTTACTGGCGCCGCTGTCGCCGATTACTGCGATTTAACTGTTCGTCATTCTGTCGTGAGTCGTCGTCCACTTCTCTTGTTGTGTGCGGCATTTTTGTAAGAATATATTTGGTTAAGATTCGATACTCGAAGGAGCTGGACAATAAAAAATTATTGAGTGCCAGAAATGTCGCAAAATATAATCTGCAATAACTGTTATTTAATATATGTGCCTGATAAGGGGCCCAACTAGACCAATTAAAATCAACAGCTGATTAGCAAACTGCCAAATTCTATAGCATAAATCAGCGGCAAAAAAACAGCTGCAAACGTTAGTGTTTGTGTTTGTAAAAGAAAAAGTTTCAAATATTGCGAGTGTCCGTGTGCATGTGTGTGTGTGCTGTTACTTGTGCATGCGTGTGTTTGTAATAAAACCGGACAACGTGCGATCGATTTTTGGGGGCCTTACAGTGGTAACTAAACAGGCGAAATGTGCACAAATTAGAAATATATTTCAGAAAGCAGAAGATGCATGAATATCAGCGGGTATATTTGTATGTGTATATTCATATACGACTACTTAAGTGTGTGCATGTAAGTGTGTGTTAGCCATAAAGCTTTGACAACATTTGCCCAACAAAAAGTATTCTATTAGAATGGGCAACTCAGCCTCTTCAGTACCGCCGGCCCCGCTCCCCGCGCCAAACGTAAAACACTCGACAAATAAATAAACAAACGGCCACTAGAGATAATGAAATTTTGTTAGGCACAAAGTAGGCAGAGAGAGTGAGAGTAAGCGAGAGAGAGAGAAAGATAGAGATAAAGAGAGGGAGAGAAATAGAGCGGGAGCGAGTGAAATAGAATTAACAACAACAACAATAACAGCAGCAAAAGCCGCAAAATTTGAGGGGCAAAGAGCTGAGGGGCAACGACTGCCAAAAGTTGCCAACAAAAACAAACAACAAACACAAAGAAAGCATGCGAAAAAAAGCTCCTTGGCCATAATACAGAAAGGCGTTGCGATGGAGACGGAAACAGCGCAACGACTTGCCGTATAACAGTTACGAGCAAAGTAACGGCACCGACGCTCCTAATAAGCGTGAACGATGATTATGGCCAGTCAGTCAGAGGCACTGTGCACTGTGGTTCCATTAGCAAATTGCAATTATATTTCTAAAGGTTTCTTAATGATATTGTATGTGCAACTTTTTTTTTAATATAGTCTAGATTGTGTAACTTGGTTTGATATAGGAATATATAAAATGTATAATATGCATACATAATAGACATACTAAATAAAATAAATCATACACTATGCAAAACATTTTTATTCATTCATTAAACAACATGAAATAATAAATTAAATATTATTAAACAAAGTCTGCTACCAGCAAAACAAAATGATTTTAATACATTTAATGTACATATCTTATTTACTTTGGCGTTATTCTAACTTCAGTTCTTCGAAATTAATTATATACTTAATTTATTAAAATTATTGTATATTATATAATATTATTATATAATGATAATAAATTCTAAAATTTCGAGAAAAACTTCTCGTTTTGAATCAATTCTAACTTATTTAATTCGCATATTAAAAGACATATATTATATACATAGAAATATATATACATATATCGAAAGCAATACAAATGTTGAGCGAAAAAGTACCAATTTTGGCACACTGTGCAGGGCTCGCTACTGTAGCGGGAACAGCCGCGTGAGAGAGTATGCGAGCGGAGAGCAAAATCAGAGGCAAGAGCGAAAAGCCGAGCGCACATCGTAGTCGTAGTCCGTATGTTTTGTAGCACAGTTTAAAGTACGCATTGCGATGGTTTTTCACTTTAGTTTAGCTAGAGACATCGTCGTGTAATGAACAGAAGCTCTGCGAGCAACTGCATTCCAGCGGCGAATCGACGGCAGATTTGAGTGCGCAAAAAGATAAAATAATAATAATAAGAATATTAATAATTATAAAAACAATGCACAAGTAAATTTCAGCATACGTGTATTTCCACACACACGCATACACATGTAAAGACTAAGATTGTGTATTTGTGTGAATTTCCCAGTTTTGGTGGCATCAAATTATAACCAAAATAACAGTGACATAGTAAAAGAATTATCAAATTTTCGCAGCAATAAAAACGCATCAATTTTAAATCTTTAAATAAAGAATTACAAAAAAAACTTAAGCAGTGACATGTAGAACGGCAGAGAGAACGAGAGAGAAAACCTTCAGTTCTGAACGCACAAAAGCTCAAGGTAAGTAAATCCTTTGCATGAACGGCTGTTATCGACTGAAAGCTGCTGTTGCCGCTGCCTAGCAAGTGTGGGGCAAGGTGGGAAGGGAGGTTCGGGAAGGGTCGAGGGGTAAGGTATGATGTTGTTGAAAGACTCATATTATTATGATACCGATTTTTGCATTTAACGATTTTTGATGAGTTCCTTGATCCGTAAAGTCCTTAGCAATTTGCAGCACACGCACACACACTCACACAATCAAAGCCTGGCTGTGGGACCAGGCGAAAGTGTCCTACAAATTCATAATTTGCCTGTTTATATACACATTGCTGTATATGTAAGGCACGCACACTCTCGCACACACACACACACACTCTGGATTCTGCAGGTATTGGTGGTTTATCGACTGGCTGCCGCGATGGCTGCCTCAATGTCTGCCCGCTTGTGCTGCCTGTCAAAAAAAGGAAAAAAAGAAAGCGGAGAAGCAAGAAAAACAATCCAAAACAGCGAAAGTGAAATTTTGTATAGACACACACACACAGGCACAGTTATGTATATGCATGTTTTTTTTTTATTTTTTGGCACGTAGGCTCCATAACTTCCGCTCGGGCGGCTTTCGCGCACACCTGTACCCAAACACACACACACACACACACACACACACACACACACACACACACACACACACACACACACACACACACACACACACACACACACACACACACACACACACACACACACACACACAAACACACACACACACACACACATAACTTGACAGCGAGCAACATTTGAAATTGTGATGAAAAGACACTTTTTTATTTCGGATGAAGTACATTTTATTTTCTTCATCTTCTGCGCTGCTTACCTTTTAATCATTGTGAAAAAGTTGTACAATTGTTATACTTCATTTTTTGTTGCTAGTTCTTTTCTTATTTGTAGTTTGTTTTGTAAAGTAGGGCAAAAACGCTCGCACACAAATTTCGCTTAATTCACTGTCGATTTATCACACTTAAAGCAGCAACAACAATAGCAACAAACATAGCTATAACTATAACTATAACTAGCCACAGCACATCATATCATAGCACATCATCATCGTGATGATGATCTCGCTGATTGCGATTGCGTGTGGAATTCGGTTCCATTCCATCTGAGTTCCATTCTATTTGATTCTACGCTGCAATCATGGGGCCTATTTATATTCTATAAAAATGCCACACTGTTGCAAACATCTGTCCAAACTCAATGCCCGTTATGTGGTCCATCCACTTTTTTTTGTGGGCTTTCACGATATGTGCGGAGACTGCACTTTAGATTGAGATTTATATGGATTTATGTTGTGTACACCCAAAGAGAAAACACAATTTAAACAAAAATCTGCTATTTTGTTGAATTTTTACAAATGTTTTTAAGTTTTTGCTTGTTATTTGTTCTGTGTATTTTTTTTTATTTTTTTTTTCATATTAAATCAGTGCACAGAAATTAAACAAACATTTTAAAATACTTTGATCTGTTTTTATTCATACCCTGAACCCATTAAAAAGGGTATTATGTTTTTGTGCAAATGTATGTAACAGGCTGAAATAAGCATCTCCGACCCCATTAAGTATGTATATTCTCGATCAGCATTAATAGCCGAGTCGATCTAGCCATATCCGTCTGTCTGTCCGTCTGTCCGTATGTATAAACGCGTCGATCTTAGAAGAGTTAGAGACTTGAACGTAGGTCCTCCGCACATACGAGTTTCCAAGCAATCGATAATAATCTATATCGAAAGATATTGAGCAAATATCTTATTTTTTATAGATCTTATTCTTAATCCTGTTTATTATACAAACCCCAAACTTGATTCTAAGCGCATTATAGAACACTTCTGAGTTCTGATTGGCACTTATTAAAATTAAAACTAAGAAAAAAGAGCTAGAGTCACAAAATTTCACATTTTCGCATTTGGTGTTGATAAGAGTTTCAGGGTATCACCTAGTCGGGCACTTCAAAATAGAGCACTCATATAAATTCTTAAAAATTTGTTGTACATTTAAATGTGAGCCAAATAGAATTGCAAAATTCCTCTTTTATAAACAATTTTGTGCTATGTGCAAAATGATTTAATTTGCCTTTGGTTTTTGAAAAAAATGTATGTACACCGAGTTTTTTCAACAAACTAGAACCCACATAAAACAAATAATAAAAAAAAAAGATTAATTTGATTTCATTCGCATTTGAAGCCAGTTTTTAAAAGGCTTCACAAAATTCAAAAATATATTTATATAAAAACTACATAAATAACTCGCAACAAATGAAAATGTCCAAGCTAAGCCCTATTTAAAGTTTGCAAAAATAAATATAGTATGTGTGCAATGCCAGCGAGAGTCAAACGTGTTTAATATGATAAAAAAGCATAGAAAATTTCTTCTTATTTATATAATCTGTTAGAGGATATTATAGTTTTCATGAAATGTTCAACGCATATAAGGGGACTTCCTTGACGCTATAAAGTATATATATTCTTTTCTGTCATCATTAACAGATAAGTCAATCATATCAGATCATATTTGTCTGTGTGCCTATCCCTCTGTCAGCCTCTCTGTCTATCTGTCTGTCTATCAGTCAGTCAGTCAGCCTGTCTGTCTGTCGGTCTGTTTACCCTTCTGGTCTTCTAGCCTTCTGGATCTCTATCTGTTTCTATGAGAATAAGACTCTTAGTCGTAGTCGTGGTTCTGTCTTTCTGTTGCAGGCAGTATGTACATCTGCATAAGCTCGTCATATACAAGTTTCACTATGCTCATTATATACGATGAATTGTTATCAATATCCAACCCGAGCTCTATGAAAAGAATTGGTCGAAAAATTAGTTTTTGTTTAGAAATGCGTTTTTGTTTTTCAAATACCTTCGTGTCAAAAATAGCATTTCTTTATAGCTTTTAGTTTCGCCGGCGAATTTTTTCATAGTAAATTATTCAAGATACTTCGAGTGCAAAATATGGAAGCTGATAGAATAAAGCTAGTTTGGTCTTTTAATATTTTTATTGTTATATGTTCTTCTTCGAATTGCATATATACAAGCTTGTTTCTTTTTACAACTAAGTTTAATATAAGCTTAAGGTCGACTTTTGACGAATGCTTGTGCTTTTGTAATATTTTCTTTAGTTTCCTTTTACAATCTACGATTGTATAATATCTATTATATATTATTGTGCTATTATTCCATTCTTATTCCCTAACTTACTCGGAATTTGCCTTACATTATTTTGAAACTGACTGTAAAAGACACATTAGGTTGTGCTCTTTACATTTTATTGCATATATTTCTTTTAAAGGGCAATATTTTGCAAAATGAGATCATGTTAGGAATCAGTCTGTTCAGCGGAAAATGTTCAAAAGAAAATGTGACAAAAGGCGATTAAAAGCGAAACGAAAAATGCATTTTCTTTGCATATTGACAAAGATTTAAAATAGACCAAAATAAGCTCATATGAAATATATTCTTAAGTATTTTACATATTCACATTTCAAAGTATTCCGACAGATGCTTTGTCATGTTTTGTTCTCATGATATCATATATTATCACAATAAAGGAAGCCAAAATAAATGTGAGCAGAAGCTGTTCTTGTTTTATAGGACAAACAAGTGCTTTTATGTTTTTTAATTTCAAATAAAATTGCTCGAGTTTGAGCTGGGATGATTTCCTCTTGGTGTAGCCAGTTTAGCGAACTATTCACGCTTGAATCATTGTCAGTCACTTCTGGAATTGGACTGCAGTCGACTTCCGCTTGGCATCATCTCATCGTGCTCATCGTGTCAGAGAACTCCGTGACCACAAATTCCCGGGCCACAATGCAGCAGTTCATTTGCGCGCACAATGACCATTTGTTGCTGCACATCTACACAGCAGCAGACCACAGCCTCCCAGCCCCAGCCCCAGCCCCAGCCGATGGAGATTCCGCGTATAGAAATGCGTGCGGACACAGACAAATCATTTGGTCATTTAAAGTGCACAAATTAAGCGGAGATTTGCCCCGGCAGCTAGATATACATATATATGGCATATATCGTATTCCTCTTGTCACCCCAAATGCATTCGGACTGAACTATCCGAATTGCATGTCGCTTTCAGCGAGTTCACAAACTTAATTGAATCAATATATATTAACTAACAATGGAGAACTGAAGCGTGGGAGCTGTTGGCTTCTTGGGTGCGGTTTCAGCGATTCCAAAATCCACAAAGCGACTGCCTCTCGGAGGCGGCTCCTCTATTTATTTGCGCATATTTCTCGATTCAATGCCAATGGAAAAGTAAAAAGCGCACAAAGGCACAAGGCTTAAAGCGTGAAACACTTGAGAATTGTTTTGCACTTTTATGTTTGTTTGCCAGCTTTTCCTTTTCCTTGTGCGCTTTACACATTTTCTTTTTGTTGTTCGGAGAATTATTTGCACTTGCTTCACTCCACGGGATTTCGTTGGCTCGAATATAATTTATATACATATATATGTACGTATTTTTTTCTTTGCCACGCGTCCCCTTTGCGGCTGGGATTTGAGTGTGTGTGTGTGTGTGTGTAAGAGTGCTGGCGGATTTGTTCCTTTGGCTGGCGTGTTCCGGAATCGAGCAACACATAAAATTCACATTTGCCATAAAAATATGCAAATGAAATGTCATTAAACAATCGGAAGGACAAACGAACAGGCCTACAAAAAAAAAAAAAAACAAAAAACAAATAAATAAAACAACTAACAAAATGTAATCGCACGCTGTTTTAGTCTATACCCAGCTCTCTAGCGTATGTGTAGAGTATTTAAACGAAAGTGAAAATTTAATATCCTATCAGAACCCAGCTATTATGGTCAATTATCACAAGCAACAGGAGCTCTTCGAACTTCTCTGCATAAAAAGGATAAAAGATCACTTGAAATTTAATATGCGTTAAGAACCCAATTATCATAGTCAAACATTGACAGCAACTAGAGTTCCATGAGACTATCAGAGATAATTTCAAAGGAAAGTTATTGAAGA